ACCCCAATTCTGCACACCATTAAATGATTTCGCTTGACTAAAACACTATTTGCTAAGCCGCAAAAGGTCATGCTAGTGGGGCGATTTCAGGTAAAGCACGAAAGGTAAGTCGGCAAGGAAACCGGTCTCTTTGATGTGAGCTCTTGCCTGGAGAAGGAAAGGGCAAGAAGATGGCATCATGCTCAAAGGGGAGTCAAGAGACAGACTTATCGCTTATTCGCTCAGTGCTGCCTCTTAGAAGGGCTGGGAGGGTTATTTAAAAGGTGTGATAACGAAGGTAAGAAAAGTGTGCATGACAGATACTTATTTAGGCAAGGAGAAGGAATTATCGAGTCGGCTGAACACTCGATCTGGAGCATTTCTTGTGTTAGGACATGATTAGTATCTCAGGTAGGCTTACGAAAAGTCCTGCGATGATTACTTTGAGCAAAGACCGGATATGATTGTCTTAAAGGCTCAAATTTTCCTCACGTAAAATTAAACGCGATGTTTGATTTCAAAAGAGGGCGGTCGTTTTATGACAATTTTATGCTTGAATTCGCCTCATTTACGGAAAGTTAATTCATCACTTTTGAAGAATCCTATCCCTGTGGAAAAAGGTGAAAACATAAAAGGAGAGGTTGTACAAGGGAAAGTGTAGGCAAATTCTCGAAGTTTTCTTTGTGTTCATTACAAATAGTAAGGAATGAAGAAGTGTCGGGTACAATACGTTTGCAAACAGATTTCAACTTGTACCTCCCTTGAACACTTCGTTTTTCAGAGTCATTTATCTATGGGTTTGGTTTTAGCCTTCTGAGACTTCTTTGAGACTGAGGATGGCATGTTCCCTAGGTGGGGCATATGTGTTTACTAAAAATGGGAGGATTGTGGTGCTTTTGTCGCGGCTAAGAGGGCAGCCCAACTGATCAAGTCAATACATTCGCCCCAGTGACCACGACTCCAGCTAACAGACAAACAAAAAAACAAGGCACTATCCAACGCTATCCCTCTTTAGCCAACACCTAACGCTCTTCCCTTGATAAATATCCTGCGTTAGTCATTGCAACGTATTTGATGCTGAAGGCAAACAGCCAAGAGTCAGCTACACCACTCATCACCACCTTCGCGACCAATGCCAGATAGTCGACCTCAACAGTGATGGCCTTCCTTGGCAGAATCAACTGGAACTGGGGTTTGGCTGGCTTGTAAACAGGCTCTTGAGGATGTTACTTTCTCTGATCATCATGTCTTTCGTCGACTAGGTGTTTGAAAATCGGTCTTCAACCAGGTATATAAGGATGGGGTTTCGTAGCATCTACTTGCAGTAAGGCGAACAAAGACGCTGCGGCGAAACTTTTCGAGAATGTTTTACGATGTTTACCGCTTTCAATGCCGAAGGTGGGCGGCATTCTCAATCTTTTTATTGTGGATAGACCAAAGATTTCCTTATTTTTGGCAATAACCGCCTCATTTGTCACAAGCGGTGAAAATTTTTTCCACAATGTGGCTAGGAGAATCAGATTTTAAATTTCCACCTGCTGGAACTAATGCATGGAGTAACCAAGTACTTGAAAAGCTCCAAAGCAATTTTTGCTTGATTCCCATTAAAATGGACTTAACATTTACAAAGATAAATCTCCTCTCAGTGACAGGAAGGTGAGGCACTTCTCACTTTGACTGCCAAAGCAACATTTTTAAGTTTCCATCAGAGTGTATTAGTTCGTATGTAATTAAAACTTACATTCTTTTTTTTCAAAAATCAAACGTGAGCAGGGAGCACAAATTAATAAAAATTACCTTTTTTTCAAACAGAAATGTTTTTTTTATTTTTGCATGTCTGTCGTTAGATTAGCATTTAAAAATGTGCACTACTGGCGCATTCAAGTCATTTCCATACCAGACTACCACAACAAAAATGGGCAGCAGCTTATTATCTGTGGGAGAAAATGGCACTTCCGGCTAGAAACCGTTGTTAATATAAAATACAGGACAGCCTGTCATTATAACAACACAAAAGAAAACAATCTACGAGGTAGGTATTGCGGTCACGACTCAAAAGTGACAGCATTGCTATGACTAACTTATTACTGAGAGTGAAATTATTTCTGTTGAAGCAAGCGGGTGTTTATGATGGGGGTCAATTCGCTTTGCAAAAAAGCGAAGACAATTCCCGCATCCCATTGGACCACTTCAAGGCCTTTGCCAGTGTGAAAATGGACGAAGAATGCAAGTTTTAAACGTGCCACCTTGTCTTCTCAATGCCCTTTAAGCTACCTGGGCATCAAAGCATGCCGGGGTATCGTGGCAGGGCTAGAGGAGTGGATCAAAATTTCACTTTCATTGCATCTGCGCCTGTTTAGCATCTATCCAGCACCCTTTGGAAATTCTTTTCTCATATATCTTTTGTCTTTTCAGCTTTGACTTTTGTTGTCCCAGTATTATTGTAGCTCCCCAAGGCTTCATGCTAGGTAGAAGAAGGCATTAGGTGAGACTGAACACATATGTTCAAGTAGAAAAGGGTGCAACTGGGTTTCCGCTTCATCCGAGGTCCAACCCACACGTATAAAAGCAACGTGTCGCCAGCGTAGCGCCTCTGGTTTTTAAAAAGAGGGCTCGGAGGACCAAAGACATAGCAGATTTCAATTTTACCACTTTAAGACCATTTTTAAGAACAGACGAAAAATCTCCACTGGGAACTGCTAAAGAGTATGACAAGGAAATATTCTAAATTCCAAAAATTGCTCTTCAAAGAGGGCATCTTATTGAAACATTTTGGCTGTTTTACCATCCGTTTTGACAAAAATTTATTGGCTGCAATTTCTATTCTCTCCGTGTTAGGCAGGCTAGCCTTTGTGCAAAGTAACGAAGATTAGCAAAACCAAAGCTCAGCTGTCATTTACTGGTCAAATGGGATTTTGGGCCAGGGTTTGGTCTACTGTACACAAATGGACTTGATAAACTGCACATTCCGTGTACTACATCACAGCTCTCACACAATATTTTTGATAAGCCGATCCAACGAAGCTGCTTTCAGTTGCTTAATAGGCCGTACAATAATTCGATGAATGGCGGAAATGGCAGAGAGATGCTTCCTTAATGACGCTGATTACGATAGCTTTGGGTGTTTACCAAAGGAGTTGGTGGAATACCCGTATAAATCTGTACTATGAAGAAATTAGTTCTTGAACATTATAACCCCTTTCAATGGGCTAGTCTCCTGCCAGGCATTGGCACCCAGCCATACCATTTTTCAAGTAAATACTCTACGATCTAGCGTCATGTCATTACTTGATTCTAGGAATGCCTTTAGCAGCTACAACTACACTGTAACACAATATTTAAGGGACCACTTGTATGACTGGCGGTCACTTAGGTATCTGTTTTACTCTTGGAACGTAAAATGGACCCTCGGATCAATCCGGAAGGCAGGTTTTTAGGCTAACTTAGTACCTTTCTCTACCCAGCGGAAAACAAACCGGACTTTGCCACCACTCCGCGGTATAAAGAAATTGCATATAATTTGGGCCGGACATTTTTCATATTATTCACAACAGAAGCGGTAATAAGGACTGCATTTGGCCCTAACTTATCATTGTGGTCTCCTGGCAAGCTATTGACAATTGAACATACACCTCTATGAACCACCTAGAAAAGTTCTATTCCGAAGTATCCTACCGCATCTGCGTGTAGATGTCAGCGATGACACTGCGCTGAGCACCCATCTATACAAAATTGTCTTTAAATCCATTTTCCTTCTTTAACGTCCCCCTTAAAACGATTTACAAACGTCTAGTACCGGGCACAATTTATGGTCAACAGAAATTTCTCCCTACGATTCCTGCTCTTGAGCTGAACGTAACAGATTTAGTGGAAGTTGCTGCAATATACACTAGTTTGTTTAAGTGGATCCTTATAGAAGAGACGCGAATCACGTGCATGAAGACGGTGAGGAGTCTCTCTCTAGTTGATATCTCCTATTTGGTTCATCTACATCTCAATCCCATTCTTCCTGTAACAAATGCCAAATAAATCAACTTCAACAAACCCTCTCCTGAAGACTGAGGTTGAAGGGCCAGAGGGTAGGCAGGCAGCTCTTACAGTTGCTAAGACGACCAAGCAGAGCCCCACAGTCCTATGGTAGTTGATGGGTAGCGCGTCTGGCCCGAGGGTGTTTTCTTAAAGTACGCTGTGGTGACAGACGTGAGAGGTGTGCTAAGAAGGGCAAAAAGAGAGTTTATTAAACTGTAATACCTTGATTACATAACCACTGATGTCCAAAGATCCCTCTAAAATTTTACTTGCTCTTATGCTCTTCGCCTTTGAGCCAAGCCAAAGCCCACTTTGACTGCACAGATTCGGTCCTAAATTAATGCCTTATTCCGCCTACTAGAAAGCCTTGAATTGGTACAATGTTGCCAAGGTAAGCTGTTTAGTCAATCAGTCCATTCATAACTTAGATAATATTTTAGATCAGTAAGGAATGGTGGTGTAAGCGGTGGCATAATTTGTCTATGTGAACACTCTAGCGCCCCAAGGGTTCCCACCGGGCAGAAGAGGACGTAGTGGAGCTGAACATGTGTTCTAGGAATAACAATGGAAGCAAGCCTGAGATTGGCCCGAAGGCGAGCTCATGCGCACATAAGGTGAAAGAATCTTAAAGTAGCTGCTAGGTGTTTGGTACTCACATGAACAAAGCACTGCAACTACTTGAACATCAGGGAGTAACTTTTGCATTTGCATTATTCTGTAAGAACAAGCTAGCCTAATGACTAATGAGTCTATGTTCGATTCCTTTTAATGGTATATTTTATTCTAATCAACAAGGTCTTGCTTCAGCCACTATAATTTTTTAAGCAAATGATTGATTTAGACTTAAATTTAAATATAAGCGTATCCTTAAATATTATTACAACTAAGCTAGCCGTTAGTGTGTGCATTCAACAATGATTTCCTGGAGCCATTTGTTTTATTGGGCTGCTCAAGCAGTCTCTTACTGTGTTTTTCGCCATTTTTCGCTGGGTATGAGTAAGCGAGCTTATCTGTGTATTACTGATGGAAGCGGTAAGTGTAATTATGCTATTGGTGAGTTTTAGACTCCAAAGCTAACGATCCCAGTGCATGGGCTATCGTTAGGCCTCGAAAACGTCGTAGTCGTTGGTCCAATGCAAATGATGATAAAACCTACGTACCTGGAATGCCCACACAGTTGCCTCCAAATCTGACTCCTGCTCAGGAGAAGATGTATATTTGTAAGTAGAAATTCTTCAACATTTATCGTTCAAGTGCAACTACAAATAGAGGATATTACAAGACGCTTAAAGACTGGCGATTTGGGCATTCCGGCAAATCCTGAAGATAGGTACGTAGTTATCTTCGCTTGCTTTTAGTGCGTAATCTTTTGTCCACAGCAATGCGTTAAACTAATTTGTCTTTTCACGTATAGGCGAGCAATAAGATATGGGACGTTAGCTTTTTGGGTAAACTCTTATACTAATACTTAATCCTATTTTAGTAAAGCTCCATCTGTTAGATCAAAGCGCTGGTAGATTTCACACGAGATTGCATTTACGTAAGGTATGGAATTTAACGCATTGCTTTTCAGGGGTTTAATTTCGCATCTGCTCTATCCACTTTTTTTTCAAGGTCTCCGTCACCTGAACCGGTTTACAGCAGTGACGGGAAGCGACTAAACACTCGTGAATATAGAACACGAAAAACGATGGAGGAGAATCGGCACAATTTCATTCAGCAAATGTTGGAGTTAAATCCTGATTACAAACCTCCTATCGACTACAGGTGCCTCTCTATTCTGTGCTTTATTTCTAGAGCGCCACAAAACAAAATTACGGACAAGATATTCATACCACAAGAAGACCATCCTCATATTAATTTCGTGGGCTTGCTTATTGGGCCGCGAGGGAATACTCTCAAAGCTCTGGAAAAAGAGGTAGGTGCATTCCGATGATTGCTTCCACAAGGAAGCACTAAGGTTAACGTTGCTCATCATTCTTTGTGCGTAGTTTGCCCTCGTTGAGTTGTGTTATTGGGAGCACTGATCAAACATTTCTCCTTCCACAAAGGTTCTGATCGTTGTTCGCTAAACTCGGCCTCACATGAGCTGGTTCCCTGCCGTTTACTTCGTATTTGCAATTACCATTAGACATGAAGCCTTTTTTTCGGTAAATTTTTGTGTAGACTGGGGCGAAGATTATTATTCGTGGTAAAGGTTCCGTCAAAGACGGGAAATTGATTCGCCGAGATGGGATGCCTATTCCCGGTGAAGATGAACCCCTTCATGCTTTCGTTTCTGCTGCTACTCCAGAGTCGTGTCAGAAGGCCGTGGAGAAGATTCAAAGTATTATCCGTCAGGGCATTGAGGTACCTGAGGGCGAAAACGACCTGCGGAAGTCGCAGCTCCGTGAGCTGGCACTCCTCAATGGTACTTTACGTGAGCATGAAGGTTTGGCGCGTTTGAGAGCAATGGCGGATGCACAGAATATTGCTACTAATAAGATTCAGTGTACCATGTGTGGTGGTAGGTTCCTGTTGCTGAGATCTGTACATTGTATAATTTTGTGTTTTTGAGACCTGTGATGTGTCATGTTGTCAGGTTTCGGTCATCTTGCGTCGGACTGTAAATTACGCGACCCTTCTGTCACCATGGAGCATATGGGTATCAATCCAATGGAAAGGGCTAAGATGGACAGCGAGTATACTGCGCTTATGGCGGAGTTGGGCGTTGGCTATGGTGGGGGTGGTGCCAATCTGCCTCCAGGAGTTGGTGGGTCCTTATGAGTTTGCCCGATATTCATTTCGTTTATTGTCAGTGTGCAGGTAGGCAGCATTGTCACTATGCTTCGCAGAAATTTCACCAAGATTGACGTTATGTGCACCCATGTAACAAATTTCTACGTAGTTCTGTTGACAGTCGAGGTTGATTATTTCAGCGCCTGGTATGCGGTCCGTACGATCGGGCCCACCAAAGCAGCCCCCACCACCGGGCGTAGCTCCTGCACCAGAAGAGGAGGGAGAAGAAAAAGGCAGCGGAACCCCCACTTCGACAGCGTCAGTAATGCCACCACCTCCACAGATGCCGGCTCACCCGACTGCTTGGGGTTACATGGGTGTTCCAAATCCCGGCGCTGCTTATCCTCCGGCCGTGCCACCGGCAGGGCCACCTGGTGCTTACGTAGCTGGTCACTACCCTCCGCCCCCGCCTCCGCCGCCACCACCGGGGCATCGTGGATATCAGGGCTGGTACGGACCTGGGCCAAGTGGGCCTTGGCCTCACCCCGGAGGTCCAGGTAAACTTTGATGTTTGATATTTTGAGGTCTTGGCATAGTTATTGAAACTACGCTGTCTAGCCAGTCTCTTCTTAATACTTTTGTATTAACAAGTACCTCATTCTTAGGAATGCCGCCTCGTCAAATGGGTTATGGCGGTGATGGGAGTGGTGCTGACTACTGGGCTCAAACTGCCGGTTACGGTTACTGTCCCCCTCCACCACCGCCTCCTCCTGCTCCTGGTCTTTAACTTAGCATGCTGCCATTTCGATTGTGTATAGGGCACGGTACGAAAGTAAATCCGCGTGCTAATTTTAATATTTTTGTGTGCATGTCAATAAATGATCGATTGAGAGCTGTTATCTGCACTTCCTTAATCATCGATGCTTATATTATTGAAGGCTATTCGGATGTTAATTCAAAGGAGGAATCAGGTACACCTCTCCTCTAGCAATGTGCCGTTTCAGGGTTTGGTGAAAAGTAGGATGCAAGGAAACATTCCTTGAACGCTGTCTAAATAACTGATGTTACTGGTGGGTGGGTGTCCGGACCGCCTTCCACCGTGAACCGATGTATCCTGGGAGTGTCTCACTGTGCCTCCAGATGTGCACGGTCGGCTTGTGTCATACACGACTTGGCGCGTGGTGGTTCATGCACAAGCCTACGGTGATTATCCCTCAGGACTGGGTACAGGCTAGGGTTCATTGAAGCGTGGGATGATGGCTGGGTGATCGGGGTTTAGTGGACTTTTGCGCCAGTCATGCGTCCTCATCCGAATGTTGATAATACGTGAGTGTGGGATTGGTTGGTTCTGGGGAAGGGATTTATGTCAGAAGCAGTGTGTGGCGTACTCTGACAAGGGCTAGGTCATCTGTTGAAGCATTTGCGTCACTGAAAAGCGGGGGAAGCTTACTCATATTTTGAATGCGGCAAGTCTAGGATCCTCCCGTGGGTGGGTGCTGTGCGTTGAGTACGCGGAGTTGGAACGCTTCATTTAAAAATAGCAGTGGCAAATATTGATGCTGTCCGCCAGTAACTAGTTCACTTGAAAGCTATTTTCTGACGTAAGACTGCGCGACTACCCCGATAGACCACACTTGAGCACTTGGGCCTCAGGTCACCGCAGCAGTAAAACGAAAGTTACTTTCAGATGGCAGCTCTATGCACAATTTCGACCAAAGCATGCCACCACTTGTAGTAAGTCTGATACCTAAAGTCCAAAGCTTAATTTAACCACAATCACATTTTGTCTATGAAAGATAGCTTGCATTCATCGCTTTGCCATCTTTATCTCCTTCTTCGAACAAGTACATGTGCTAGCACACCATTTCTCAGCCACTCTATTCTCTCCTTCAATGTTTAAATACAATCCGCTCTGGAATATGTGTAGCTAGGTCTGTCGCCTTTCCACCGAATCGTCACACTCGGTCGGTCCTCGGTTGAAACAATTTGACTCCTTCAGAAGCACGCTAGCATTGTAGATATGAGGTGCAAGACATTTACTGCGACCATGTTAGTTGGGCTGGAGGCAGTAAAGTGTCATGCGATTTCTTAATCGGTTATTGAAGTGATGGCGAAATGTGATGGAGTGAAGAAACGGTCGGATTCAACTAAAGTTTGGAGTGATATGATGCCCAAGTTTACTCCCTCGCCATTTCAGTAGTTCTGTTAACGGCCTTTTTGCTAAGAGATGCATTAATTGCCCGACATTTTCTTTGGGTAAGTGGACACAGTGCTGACTATAAGGCAACCATCTTCTAAGACCTGTGCCAAGCTCACTTAAAAACTATAAAGCGGGATGCATGCCGGAGACGGACATATAAATTTGTCGGCAATTGATAGATTTCACCTATTAGTGGATCGAAAACATTGATGTCGAGATGGGTCCAATGCAGTAGTAGGTAATGTATTCCAAAGAAACAGCCACAACGAAGAGTTCACAAATCTAACAGATGGTACTTTAACTCAAATTATATTCTTTCGCTTTGTCTTCTTCCATTCCACCGAAGAAAGACCGAACCATTAGGTTGCCACCTTTATGACAGAGAGAAAATCTGCTTCCTTGTTTAATGATTGGCACAAAAGACTAAAATATTGTCGAACTTGAAACAAACAATAGTGCAAACTCCAAGCAAAATCACATAAACTCCAAGCCAAATCACATAAACTCCCACACCAAATGCTTTCGCAGCAATGAAACTCAAACAAGTTGGAACCGTATAAGCAAAGGAAGATAAAATGAGCAATGAAATTATTACTGAGAAGGTAGGCGTTCAACCGTACCTGATCACTTTTTGCCTTGATCGATTTCCAATAGGGCAAGTTTGCCCTTAACACCAAACTGACTTTTACTCGAGTTTTCAAAACCCCACCAACGCCAGCAAGGTTGACCTGGACAAAAGAAAACAGCAAGTATACCAAAATTTCATTGCAAAACACAGACATTTAGAAGGAGATTTTGTGACTCACTTTAAACTTGGCGATATTTCTAGCTCGAATTAGGCACTCGTTAGAATTTAAGATGCCAAGGTTTTTCGCTGCGAAGTTGCTGCCAGTGTCATAGCCCGCAAAGACCTTAAAATTGTTAATGCCGATTCGGAAATGTAAATCCCAATTTTACATTTAGAGTTCATGCATAACTATGCTTAACGTCAGAAACTATAATATGGAGTCCCGAGACTTCCTAGCCGGTATAAGAAGTCAGTAAACGCAGCTGAATATATGAATTCCGAAGACGATGGGGCAAATGGGTCTGGACATGGCCCGAAGTCCAGTCCACGTGTACAAGAGCCAGACAAATCCTAAAGTGACCGCCAGACATCACGTGGCTACATAAACAAAGTATTGCACACCGTTCCTCAGTATCATGGCGGATGTTGACTGGTTCTTTAGGGCTTCCTTGCAGTATCGAATTTACTGTGATGGCTGGCATGAGAGGTGTACCCAGGAGAGCGTCTAGAATGATGCTCATGTAGCATACCAAGACTTCCCATAGTGTGGAAGATAACAGTGTGTGGGGCTGGATATATGTATTCTGAAGACAATAGGAAAAAATGGGCCTGAACATGGTCCGAAGGCCAGTCCCACATGTACTAGGGTCAGACAAATCCTAAAGTTACTGCCAAATGTCAGGCAGTCACATAAACAAAGCATTACATTGTTTCTCTCCTCTTTAGAGCGACGTCCTCGGCGCTCCCTTTGGTGCACCTCCCGCGTCATCCATCACATGTTCAGTACTACAAGAAAGTACTTACGAGTCAACCGCGCCACTCGGCAGATGGCACGAGACTGAGGAACCGTACTTGGTCAGTTTCAACTGGATCTGGAGTTACGTTCGGTCTGACAACCAGACTCGGGGCCGCATGCACCTGTTTACCATCAATTACTTCCAGGACTAGACGGTGGAACATGTTAAAAGGAAAACGGGATGAGCCATTGTTCCGTATGCTAGGACAACCGTATTGTCATTTCCGACAACTAAACACGGATCTTGCTTGCGAAACTCCGACACGAAACTTTTCCCGATAGTTCACGGTGGCGTCGCTTCAGTTGTTAATAGCTTGTTTGTGGAAGACGGGTATAAGGTGAGACCAAATGCAGATGTCCGTCTAAATTCTTTCGTTCTGAAGGATTCAGGCATTCTCTGTCACCAAGGTAAATGCACCTCCTTCAATTCGCGTACCCTATTCGCCTGTATCTTCATCTCTTGCACTTCAATAGAGTCAGGCTTCCTTCTACACATGTATAGTTCATGATTGCCAGTGCACAACGCCAAAATACGCTTATTGTTCCTGCATTTCTCCACCAAAAGTAGAATTCCTTTGCAGAATTGCCTGCCAATTGGATTACAAAATTCTTGTCGTGAAAAGAGAGGTTCTGGATTTCCAGCTAAGGGAACCCGACGTCGGTGTCCAACAGATTATCAGGCTGATAGATACTCAAACCAGAGCATCAGCACCAAGAACAAGCGATATACATCTCCAGATCCTGTGCGATTTGCAGGTACTGAACCATTGCATCATCGGATTGAACCTTTGCTTGTCGGCTTGTTCGTCCTCTTCTTTTTCGGAAGTCAGTCGATTAATTGGCAAAGTTTGGCAACACAAACATAGGATGCCAGTAAGACAGCGGTGTCTGTTGGGCAATAGATTTACCCGGACACTATCGCTTTTAACAAGCTGCGGAGAGAGACCCCACCTCAGCTAATAGTCGCCAAAAAGAAAATGTCAGGTTCGTTTTTCGCTGCCACCAGTATAGCGTGCAGAGACTTCCTAGCCAGTATAAGAAGTCAGTACGTACAGCTGGATACATGTATTCCGAGGACGACAGGGCAAATGAGACTGGGCATGGCCCGAAGGCCAGCCTACGTGCGCAAAGACCAGACAAATCCTAAAGTGACCGCCAAACAGAGCATTAAATATACAGCCTGCAAATTATCAAATTTACAAATCCATATGATCTTTTTATTCATCTTCATTCTCAATCCTCTACCTTCATATAAAAGTAAATTTCATTGTGTAAACCTAAGACCCTTGATAAGGGCATTAATGAGTCAGTAATTAATATCGTCCTCTTTTCTCACCATTAATGTCCCAGAGAAGCAAAAAACGCATATCGGATGGTAGTACTTGTAATACCTTTTCTATGTCGACATCTGCACGTCTGGTGTCGTTTATTTTAAGTGTGACGCGGTCCTCAAGTCCGGCTATAGCCAAAACCCAAATTTTCTTCCCTTGTGAAAGTGCTTAGCCCTACTTTCTACCTTCTTCTACCTAACGAGAAGTTTCGGGCAGTGAGAAGTGCACCATAATTTGTAATGGCTTCTGTCCTGGTGAACATAATTTTGAATGAGTCTGTGGTGTGGTTAAGACTATCATGCTTTGGGTGGTTGAACCCATAAAATTCCTCGCAGCAGAAGCGTTGAGAATGATGTCTGTATTTGGCTCTACCCTTTTCTATTGTTTCACATAAAGTTTAAATTTGAAGCCACGGAGCATCTGGGAGTGTGTTTAAGTTGACCTTTACAGGAAAGAGACGGTAACCATAAGCAGAACTCAAACCCGTGCGTGAGGATCACTAGAAATCTCTCTCTGGGGGATATATGTTATTCGGGTCATCTGTACTCCTATATTCATTGCCTAATAAATCTGCAACTAACCCTCCCTTGAAGTCTGCGGTCCAAGGGCATGAGGCTAAACGAGCAGTTCCTACACTGGTGGCAGCGGAAAGCGAACACGACACTTTTCCAAC